TTTTTTTTTGAAAGTGAAACGGTCACATATCTGCAGTCACAGATGCGGGCACTAGAGTTCGATCCCCAGACCCTACCTTGCCCATGTACAGTATCGAGTTGACCCCGGAGTGTTTGAACCCGCGACCTGTATTTTGGTAGTTGTTTGACGTCTGTCGTAGGTCCGTGTAGTTGTAGGGGTTCGATCTGTAGACCTGTTGAGTAGGGGTCACAGCTCTGTAGAGGTCGTAGCTGTAGGTGTTCTGAAAGGTCAAGGTCGTAGCTGCTACAGTCCTGAAAGGTCAAGGACGTAGCTGCTACAGTACTCGAAAGGCCAAGTCCACGGATGTCTGGAAGGTCCGGAAGTGGCCGTTCGAAGTTGTCTCACCTTCAGCCAGGGGCAAGTGGGCAAGTGGTGAGCTCGGCAGTGCGATTGCATTCAGTTGGCAGTGCAATCCCGTGCAGTCAGCGGTACCGGTCCAGCCCATCACAGCCCAGTCAAGCAAGTACCGCGAGGGACTGTGTGCACCATGGGCCGGTGGGAAAGGGGGCAGACCAACGAGTTACAGAACAAATCAAGAGGCAGCGTCCAGCCATTCGTTCATTCGCTGTGTAAGCCATGCAGAAGCGCTGCCACAGCGTCTTGTGCGAAGGTGGTCTGCAGGTTGCCCGAAGACGAAGTGGGCTGAAGAGTGATATCTTAGCCATAGTCAGTAGAGGTAGAGCGGCCATACCGCGATAGGAGCAAGATAGAGAGAGTGTGTGTGCGTGGGAGTATCCAGGGTGATCCAGAGTTGAGTATGTGCGAACAGTGGTATCGAACACAGTGACGAGAATTGGTGTGCAGGCGCCGCTGCGCCATAGCCTGTTGAAGTGAATTTGCATCTGAACTGTGTTCTCGTTTTCCATATCTCTGAGCGTGGAGTGGGCGCTCTGCGCCAGTGTGAATCGCCATCGGTTTGTATGTATGGGAAGTGGAAAAGAAAGCGAGTCTGATTGCAAAAAGGATAATGCTCCAATCGATTTGTGGGGAGCAACACGTGCTTGGAACTGTGCCCAGCCTCCGTCGTAAGCGTACAGCAGCAACATGAGATACTGGGGCCATTACAACTTCGGCTGAGAGCAATGAACCAAAATTCCTCTTGTTAATTTCGAGTTCAACCAGTTGAAGTTTTTCTGTGTAAATTGATCACTCTTTGTTGAATTATTCTTCCTTGTGGCCATACATTTAGAATGGAAAAAAGGCGCTCATGGGTTCCAGGAGGATCCGGAGTTGCATGAAATGCATCGTCAAACTTCTTTGCGTTGGACACTTAGAAAGGGGGGAAAAAAAGAGATTCCTGTTGAGGAGCTCTGCATCCAGACTCTTCCAGGTAACCACTCTTGTGCTTTGCATACTGTTCTTCTGAACACCAGATGGTGGAGAAAAGCATGCTTGGGGGGACATATACAGTGCAATGACTTGCTGATTTCCACTGCCGAGACTAACCACGAGGCTATACAGTACAGCAGTAGGGTAGATTCGTAATTTTGTTTGGCTGAGGGCTAACCGAGAGACCTACCTGTACGGAAAATTTGTGAGGGACATATCTGCAAATATGGGAAAATAGGCCCAACAGTGCTTCGAATTTCCTACAGCTATCCTCACTGCGTTTAGCAGGCCCGGGCTACCCCTAGGACAGACAGGCCCTAAGGGCCTAAGCTCATAGACGGTCCTATAGCCTATAGCAGGGTCCGGTAGAGGCCGAGAGGCCGAAACAGAAACGTACCGGTCGGTCAGTCAGTCCGGTCTAGTTCTAGACTAGAGTAGGGGAAGTCGATGAATAGTTTAGGGGAATCGGTTTGAGACTTTTGGCGATTCATTTTTCACGATACAGCGTTTTGGGAGCCCAGCAGTACTTCGAATTTCCTACAGCTATCCTCACTGCGTTTAGCAGGCCCGGGCTACCTCTGACAGACAGGCCCTAAGGGCCTAAGCTCATAGACGGTCTATAGCCTATAGCAGGGTCCTGTAGAGGCCGAGAGGCCGAAACAGAAACGTACCGGTCGGTCAGTCAGTCTGGTCTAGTTCTAGACTAGAGTAGGGGAAGTCGATGAATAGTTTAGGGGAATCGGTTGGAGACTTTTGGCGATTCATTTTTCACGATACAGCGTTTTGGGAGCCAGGAGGTTTGCAGTGGCGATTGTCTGCAGGCGGTACCCTGAGACCCTCACCGCGGGCAGCAGCCATAGCCAGCCTGTTGGGGACTTGCCATAGCTGGGGCATCCTTTGCGCATCAACCCCTGTGGGTTCCTGCGAGCGGCTGGGCTGTGTGGAGACTCTTCACTGAGTCCTTGTGGGTGGCGGCAGCCATAGCTGCCGGTTCTTCGTCAGAGTTGTTCAGCGGCACTGAAGACTTCATCGCAGGATCTGTTCTTCATCTGGGTGGTTGGCGCTGGCCTCTGGGGGGCCATTCTGATGTGGCGCTACTAACTGGTGTAGGGTAGAGAGTGGAGGGTGAGGTTCTGAGAGTGGCGAGACAATAAGGTGAGGTTCTGAGAGTGGCGAGACAATAAACTATGTAATGATTTCTGGTTAATTGGCTCATCATCAGTGTGTATTCCAATTGTTATCCTCGCAGGTTCTTTCTTGTGATTGGTTGTTGGGAGTATCGTCAGAGAGTGAGAAAAACTGTGTGTCCTCTCCCCAGTTGTGCATGGTTGTGCTTCTGCTATCGACTTTGATCTGTGTGTAGTTTGGACTCTGTCTCCTCTCCCCTTTCTCTTATATATGTATGGGCGTGTATGAGACTGTCTGTGTGTGAGTGGCGGTAAAAATCGTTAGAAAACCAAGTTCATAACAGTTGGTATTGGAGCGAGATTGGAGTTGGAGCATTGAGGGTTGAGTGCAACGGTCATCTTCTTCATCTGGCGACATATTGATGAGAGCTTCATGGCGATTCATCTTCCCGAGTACTGAGTCAACAGGGAAGAAGACTTGAGGCGGTGGATTCAGGAGTTAAGTGCTTGCACTGAACAAGCGCACTGAGCTTGTTAAGGTTGCTTGTCTGAAAGTGGCGAGAACAGGGTCAATTCGCCATAGCCAACCCTGAGGGTAGGGTTGCGAAGTACCCCTGAGTGGCGAATTACCCTTGGAGGCTTCAAGGATTGTTGAGCGGCTTCATCCCTGAGCAGCGCTGAGGGAGATTGACAGTCTGTGTCAATCTCATGATGAAATAACCCCATCTGGGGCTATTTATAGCATTAGCGGTTGTGGAGTACTGTGGCGAGATAATTCGTTGTTGGCTTTCGGGGCGCCACAGGGCCAGGTTCAGTGAATCTGACATCAAGGGGTGCAGCGCTTCAAGATCCTGAGGAGGATCAACAAGTTTGAAGGGGTTCTGTGCATGGAACAGACAGGAGGAATTCCTGGGAGAAGTTGGCGAGTTGAGAATTCAGTCTGCCATAGCCAGATCTTCACCCAGCTCTACAAGAAACCATGAAAATGAATCCGTTCCATGCACCTACCTGTGTAGCGATTCAGATAGGACTAGTTTAGTCAGTAATTATGGTCTATCTGTCTGTCAGTGACTGGATGTGAAAATCGCAGATTGCATGACAGCCATAGCCATCTCTCCCCTACCTTCCTTTGCTCATTTCTAACCCTCTGTTGATTCTTTTGCATCCAAAATTGTTATGTGGCTGCCTTATTGTATTCCGCTTGGTTTGGGATGTTCAGATTGTGAATCCTGTACTGAAAAAGTAGTGATACAGTGAATTGTAGTTTTGCGCTGAATCTATTTATAGTTTGTGCTAATTAGGGTCAGTCATAACTCCAATTCTGATCGTCAGAATTCAGTTCTGTCAGTTCCCAGTAAATCGCAATTTAAAAACAGTCATTGCTGTAGAATCGCTTGATTGGATTTCCAGTATTTCACTGGAAATAGTGAATACTGTACTTTGCCATACCCTAGGGTATGGCTGTTAGAGTTATTAGGGCCGAAAATTGAGTCTGAGTTAGGATTCAGGGTTCCTGACTGAATCGCTCTGCTTATTTGATCTTTCTTGTCTGTACTTGCCCAGTTCGCTCATTCTCACTGATTACTCTTGTTTTCTAGTGGGCTTTGGAAATCTAGTGTTTCTCTGGAAGAGTAGTGGATTGTTGCTACTAAGTCCAGTGTGGTGCAGGGTCAGTAAAAGGAAATCGTGTGTTTGATTTTACTGGACTAACTGTCTGTCTTACCCCTGACCCTAGAGAAACCTATCCAACCCTAACCGTTTGTTGCCCATTCACCCACCTGACTTATGTGCATGAGTTGGCAGCAATTTCTGAGTGGCTGAAGGGATTTGCATATCGCTGCATACTCTCTGCTGTTTGTTTATTTTCGGGTGTTCTGAAAGAGGAAAATGGCTGATCAAGTCGCTCAGCAGCAGCCACAAGTGGAAGCACTAATGAAGGTAGAAGGTGAACAGCCTGCTACCTCCACCCCTACTACACCTCTGACTGCTACTCAGCGAAGGAAGAAGGAGATTCATGAAAGATTGTAGCAGGAACAGGCCCTGCTGGATGAGTTGGAGAGACAGGAGGCAGCGGAGCTAGATGCTGCAACAGATGCTTGACGACAGGAGTGTCTGTTGGAGCAGTTAGGCAAAGTTGTATCTGATGAGCATTGTGCACAGGTGACTAGGAATCTGGCGGAATGGGTCTTCTGAAACACAAATCCACCAGTTCCTACTTCGCTAACAGGGATGACGTATAGGTCGTCTGGAGCGCAGGGTGGATGACTTGGCAGCCCAAAAGTCCAAGATCCTGACAGCAATCCAGGATCTGACTGCTCA